CACTAATACATACAGTGCATATGTAGTTTGCTGACATTACGCACTAATACATACAGTGCATATGTAGTTTGCTGACATTACGCACTAATACATACAGTGCATATGTAGTTTGCTGACATTACGCACTAATACATACAGTGCATATGTAGTTTGCTGACATTACGCACTAATACATACAGTGCATATGTAGTTTGCTGACATTTCGCACTAATACATACTGTACAGTGCATATGTAGTTTGCTGACATTGCGCACTAATACATACAGTGCATATGTAGTTTGCTGACATTTCGCACTAATACATACAGTACCCGTTCATCAGTTAAACTTCTCCTTCAGCCTCCCACCAAACGCACAGAACTGAGGAAATCCGCCTTTTGTTCTTATGCACCACATGAGTCGAACATATTACAAAATATATTGAATTTAAACTCCTTGCCTTCTCTGAATGTGTTTAAAAATCTCTTAAACTCTGAGCTTAAAGAACAGTGTCACTGTTTCGTATAAATTAATTTTATTCTATGTATAGTTTGAGTATTTGTATGTGTTTTAGTCTGTGTTCATATTAATCACCTCTGTATGTATGTATATGAAACTTTTGTCTTTTTTTATTATTTGCTGCCATATTAGCCAGGACTTCCTGGAAGAAGAGATATTGTATCTCAATGGAACTTTCCTGGTAAAATAAAGGATAAGTAAATAAAAATTTAAAAATCCTCTTCTCTGCAACTGACTGCAGTAGGTTTCAGACAAGTGTTTCACTTTACATTGGAATGGCTAATTTATGCAAAACAGACATAATCAAGACCAGTTTCAATAAACTCAACAAATCAGATGTTGTAATAAACCACAGAAGAAGACAATGTAGTGCAGATTTGAAAGACCCAGGAAACTTTTGTCACTGTGGGCGACATTTCTCCAACCTGCCACTAGAGGGGTATGTTGCACCAGATTTCTTACTTCCTGAAGCCTGCCACAACCAAATTGCTGTTCTGACCTATGATGTTATTGGATCCTGAGTTTTATCACTATCCATCAAATGTGAAACCTAAATTTTCCTGCTATCTTAATTAATAATGGACCTTGATGCACCTGATCTATATCTGATTCACCTGAACAGAATGGATAGAATGAGATGAGTGTATTTTTTGTAAATTAACAGCGAAAACAGCAGCAAATGATATTGCATATATACCAATAAATCATAATTTTAGGAGCTGCTTATATTGTCATAATGAAACCTGTTGTGCAAGGTATTCAGTAAAAATGCACATGTTCAAAAGCAATCAAACATGATTGTGTTTCAGTTGCCTTTGTAAATCAACATGGATGCAAGTCAGACATTTCCACTGAGCACAGCAAAGGCAATACAAGTGAGGAGTCAAGTAATAGCAGTACAATCACACCATTAGTTACCTCACACAGGGCAGTTCATGGTCACCAAGGCAACTCAACATGAATCGAACTCAAATGCATTATCGCTTTTGCCTGAAAGGATCCTTTTAAAGCATGTTGTTGACTAGGGGAGTAGATGTTAAGTGTGTGGGCACTGAGGCTGCATCCCTGGATGGGAAAGAGCAACACAGCCTATCACTGCTTCTCCTCCACACCTTTCAACATGAACTGATTCATTTCATTTGTTCCTGCCTCTTTCTTCATTCAACCGAGTCACAAAGTGCACCATAGAGGAGGTGTTACTAACAGTGATTAACACACTAGGGCTTCTGTAGATCAGCTCAGTCCACATCCTGGAAATGGCATCACAATCGGCCACCCATATCCCATGAGCAGTAGCGATAGATCCTCTGGCCATGAAACAGTGAAAGAGTGATGGACAGACCAAAATCAGCAGGAGAGCAGATGCACCAATGGCTTATAAGAATGCATGTCATGTGTGGGGACAGGTAATCTTTTAAGAACCTCATACAAGAGCTTTTCACTTGATCTTAAGAACTGAGAGTGACAAATGATAATCTAATTATTTTAATGTCATCTGGAGCAAGTGGATTTGTTGCACTACTGATACCCAACAAATAAGACAAACACCTGTAGGCCAAAAATTCTTGAGTAAGTTACAGTTGAACAGCAATGAAATTTACTTATTCATAAGTTAATTATTATTCAAATGATTATTTTCACATTTTTAGAAAGCCTCTTCTAAACAGACTTTCTCAGCTTTCAGTAACTGCAATTCAGATTGTCCCATGAGGGTGTTTTTGGGAGCTTTCCACCACAGGGTGCAATTTCACACTCCTGGACAAAATATCTGCATCCATGAGTGAAAAACACGTATTCTGTGGTACTTCTGCAATATTATAAGATGTACAAAATGTAAAAGTTGCACTAACTAAAGAATGGCATGCCATCTGTGCACTTATTTACAAAAAGTTAACATATCACATTATTCCATAATTAACATTCTGAGGAAATTATTATAAAAGTTGGAATAGCATACTGTGCCATCTACCCTACACTGCTTAGCATTGGCTCCAAGATCCCCCTTGACCCTATAAACCCACCTTTTATGAAAACTGAAATGGATAAATATTCAAAGGAGTGCTCTTAATAGTGAACTGAGTAAAATTGAGCCAAATCCACCAAAGATCCATGAAACAGAGGAACTGTTTCTCAAAATCCCGTCTATAGGCATTTCCCAGATCTTCAGTCTACTTCAAAGGCATACTTATCGCTGTCTTCACCTCTCGGGCATCTGTGTTCATGTGAGACAATGTGTTTACTTCCCACCAAGTCAACATGAAAAAGGGCATAGACAACTGAGAGCTTCCCCGTGAAGTTCATGCTGAGCACAAGCACAGGGCTGTGGGCAAAGTCTAGAGCATTCCCTCAGGTGCCAGGATACTACACTGTGGGCTGATCAGACTGAATGAAGGCTGCATATAAATATAGTAAAAGACGCATGGAATTCAAAAATCTTCTAGTTCTATGCCGTGGATAACAGAACAATTCAAATCAAATATTCTGTATTAGAGTATCTTTCTGCGGCCTGACATTTACTGTGAAAGTTTAACTGGTTTAAGTGATGAGCCCCATGATTTGCACTGTACGTTAAAAAAACAAATTCAGACCTTTTGTGTGCAGGATCCAAGGTCCTCATAAAACACCCTCAACAAAAAACTGGTATGTCCTCATTAAAGTAGTACAAAAGCACACCATGCTGGTATCTTTAGCCAAAAGCTTTGTACATCACAGTTTTGTTTTTATGCCAACAATTTGAGTACAATGGCCATAGACATCAATCAGGGCCTATAATAAGGGAAGATATTAATTAGAACTTCAGAGAACCAAAACTAGGCTTAACACAAGTTTATACTCTCTATTTTATAACAGATTTTTTTCTCAAAAAGAATAGTGACCCATGCTACATCATGAAGAAACCAATCACAGAAAACCTGACTCTTTCTTTGTTTGGTTTAGCTGATGTCTTTAGTCTGCCAAAGCTGGGTTCCTTTGTAACACCTCTTTCCCGCATTTTCATTCACTCGCCCAATTTTGGCAAAAATGTTCAGTCGTTCCAAAAGACCGGTAACTGGTGTGGCTCGTTTAATCAAGGGTAATCAACACCATGCTAAGCAATTAATAGTATGAAATTCCAGGAGGTAATTAACTGGTACAATTAATCAGTTTTCAGAGAAGCATGACGACTTCTGAGAACTGAATCTCGGAATACTAGGGAACTAATGCAACATACAATCTTTGTTATAATTTTTTTTAGCAATTTGCAGAAAGGGAGAGCTAAACGATTATTGTCGGTCCCATGTTAGCCAAAATAAACAGTAGCTGCTAGGAGTAAGACTCCTGATAAAGGTTAGAGCAACACCTGCATGCACAACTCTCTAATTAACTTTACTTTAGGGCTGCTTGGATATAGCAAAAATCATAAGCGCAATTATTTTGGTCGATACTGAGATCACAATTATCTAACACAATTACTCATTGACTTTGGAAATATCATGCATTTATTAAACTTTTAAAAAACCTGTCTTTAACGGTGGATTTCCTTGAACTCTATAATTCAACTGAGAAACAAATAAATAGTAGCTGGAAAGGGCTGCCCTAGATTTGTCACAAGACAAAATAGAAGCGTCACCGCGAAACAAAATGCGGCACAATAATTGTTTTATCTTAATTAATTTTCCCTACAAATGTGGCACCATTTAAAATTAAAGGAAATAAACAGGCTTTCCAATGGTAAAAGATTTATTGCCAAGAAGTATTGTCACAACAAAGAAATAATCAACCAAACACAAATTTCCTTACTTTTTGTGCTAAGTTTATATACAAAGCACATAGAAATAGGTCTTGATTTGGTGCAGGACAAGATACTCCACCAGCATGTAGATGTAACACAATAATATAGCTGAACACAATTAGGAAAATACAACAGAGACAAATATAACAAAAATATGGTGCAAACTAGGAAACAACTCCTTATCCTCTTTGCCATAAGTAAATGACTTAAGGTCAAAGAAAGCAAAGAGAAGAAAAACAAATAGATTTACACCACCATATGACGTGAACTACTATCCCTCCATTGGCCAAGGAAGGTCTTGGGAGCGGCTATGCTGGCCAAAGCTATCCTAACATGGCCTATCTGATTTATCTCTCAGCGCCGCAGCTCACCATTCTAAGAAAGCAGACCAATGATCTATGACCTCCCAGCGTTCACTAAGGATGATGGAACCATTTGTCTGTGCAGGCAATAGAGCAGCAGGGCGTCTTGGGCTAGGAGGACAGTGGGTCAGGGCAGGCGCGGGCAGAATTTTGAAGGATGCGGCTGCCACCCACTTTTGAAAGCAGATTTATTTAATCTGCTGAAGCTATGCTAATCTGTCCCTTAACACACCTTTGTCTCTGTGAAAACTAGTGTGGCCCTTGTGTTCCCCTGGATACGCCATTAAAAAACGCCCCCTGCCACCATCACTCCCCTTTCCGAGATTTTCTGCCTCACAAACAACCGTAAAGGGGTAAAGTTTGTCAGAAGACAACCTCAATCAGACTGAAAGGGTGTTGGCAGTTCAGAGAAACTAATAAAGCCTTTATGGAACACCCGTGTTGTGCAAGCACAGCAAGTAACAGTATGAGAAAAGAATGTAGCTCCGTGATCTTCCACCTCATAGAACATCTACACATTATCACATATCACAGCCTGAGGCCCTCACCATGGCAAGACATCAACTTCTCTGAAAGTGCAGCACGGCCACATTTCTATTCTACCGACTGCACCAGTACAGATTAATTTATATGCATAACACAGCTGTCTTTTAAATGCGTTAGATTTTTTTTCTACAGTTGAACCTCAGACCTCAAGGACCCCATTAGTACGTGACATTAAAACCGGGACTGAAAGCATGAACCCAGCTACATAACCTTTTAAACATTTTCAAAAACTTATCTGCAGCAAGGCTAAATGTGATCCATTTGAAGACTTATTCATGCCTGAAGGGAAAGGCTATGTTATGTCAGCTTTTCTCCACATCATTATCTACACTGCCCTTCCCAGAAACCCATATGAAAGTGCGTCTGCCTACTTTGGCCGTTTTTACAGGAAAACAGGAAGTTACCTTGGCCCACAAAAACTACTCAATAGGAAGGGTGGAGCAAAGAGGTTAAGAAAAATATGCCGTAGGGCTGCAACCCAAGACTATAGGCTGTGGAGAAGCAGAATAGTAGGCAAAGTTCTCTAAAATATAAAACAATTACATTTAAGATACTCCATTTGCAATAAGCAATACAACAGAATGGCCAGCCAATGTCCAGCCAGAGGTTTATGATACTCTGAAATACCTAACCCTAACACAAGAGACCACAAATATCTTCAGTCTTTCTGTTAAAATATACTTTTTCTACTGAAATTTAACCAACCAGATGTATAAATATGAGGAATAATTAACGTCACTTAATATGAATGCTAATGAGACACATTTTATACATCAATAGTCCACTGTTATTTCTCCCTATTTTTGTTTTTTTTTATTTGAAAAGATTCATGAGGTTACCTTGAGCTACACTTCTGCTTTGTCCAATCTTTTGCGGTACACTAATTAAAACAAAGGCTGCTGAAACATCTGCTGTGGTGGTGGGACAGTGTCTACATAAACTGGGATTTCCAGACTAAACTCAACCAACACCATAATTACCATTCCTCAGCACCCCCCATTCATACCAATAAAAACCTGATCCTAGAATGCTCTGGTGAACTTATAGTCATATATATATATGCAGCCCAACACATGTGCCCGTCACATTCTGGCTGCGTGTACTGTACAATATGGGCCCTACTGGAACGTGCATAGTGCTTTACTGTGGGTTTTCCAAGGGGCATTTATCCAAAGCCTATTTGAAAATGAGCACCTTCTCAGTTGCTTGCCTTTTTACTAACCCGAGCATACCACTGACGACAATATAGCATGTAACCAGTCTACATTAAACCCTGGGCCCGCCATCATTTTAAGTCATTGTTGTTTATTTTGATTGAAGCTTGGCTCATCTTAATACATCAGACTATATAACATGAATTATATAACCAAGGAGTAGGCTCCAGATGTATGATAGAATCTCTTCCTTAACCCTTTGGGAGATCCATTGGGTAAAATCTATTGCATATCTAGGTCAGAAACCTAGCCGCTCAGAAACTTGCAGTATTATTTAAATGTATGCATTACTGGGGCAGACGCTGAGTCATGGCTTTGTACAGTTCAGAAAGATTACACTTGCACTAATTATTTGAATCAAAAAACCAGGAGCAGGCCTGGGTGTTGTGAGTCCTAAGCAATGTGAAGAATAGCCAGCTACCTCATCGGTAACTGAATGTCCATACCACAGATTCCAGGTGCACTCTTTGTATATGAGCTGTGAGTTGTTAGTTCATGGGAATTTATACCAGCACTTGGGTGCAAACCAACCTTCAAGGTCACCTAGGCCGGTGGAGCCTGATGCTGTGAAACTGCAGTCATTGCTGTCCTCAGACGGGATACGGCGTGTGCTGATATGGACTACCAACAGGCGCTGAAGGCTCCCCAGGTCTGTGTCCTTCAGTCCTGCCTCAAGCTGCTTTACCACAGCCTGGCCTGGCTGGCTGGTGAAGATCGCCACCTTCAGGCAGATATGAAAAAATTACACAAAGAGAAAGGAGGCAATTTTCTGGAAAATGCAATTAAATATCACCTACAGTAACTCTAAAATCTTAAGAGAGACGAAGAAGCATACTCTGACGAATAGTGAGAAACCTTAATACAGAGATATTTCTTCCACATGATGGCAATTCACAGCCAGTAAGAATAAATAACTGGATTCACATTGCACTCTTGGGAAGATCATTAACTGTCTTCGGATATGTTTCAATTCAACTGTCTAAAGCCACAATCCTCAGTCGGGTCCCTCCATTGCAACTCTCTTCATCTGTCACATTATTGCTATCTAAATCAGAAAACATATTTGCAATTTTAGCAGCAGGTTTAGTGTTGACATATTTAGCATTTTACAGTTTTAAACAATTCAATTCCAAACCACATAAGATCAAAGTTTTTCAGTTTTTTACCTACATAAACAGCCATTAGCAACGATATTTTGATGCAGCCCTGCAGTAATAAAATCTGAAGCTTATGATTGTGATCCAAGTAAATAACAGATTGCCCTGCTTCACAGTAAAAACCCATTATGGCACAGACTTTATGTCTAAAAGGAAAATAAATAATAAAACATCTCTTCATAACGTTACAAAAATATCTTCTAGACTTCTAAATGCAAAACATACAATAGTCCAAATGTTACCTAATTACATTAAGTGAAAATAAATAATCTGAATAATTGAATTGTATGTACTCAATGTCAGTTCTCTTCCTGGTCATTTGTATCACTTTCCTGGAGTCGGCACAACTTCAAATAGATCCAGCAGGCAATGTGTTTAGTGTCAGCGCTTAAAGCCCTGTTTTGTCCAAGATCCTGGCAGGAACCTGCCTATCACTGGCTCATTTGAAGCTTTCCATGCTCAAAATGAACACTCTAAAATTCAGAAATACTGGGGAGTCGGAGTATCTGGTCTGTTCTTGGTACAAGAACAGCAGGCAGTTCTGCCAGCAGCGATGGCTCCAGCATGCAGCCATACACCAACCCTTACTAGTCCAGTAGTCTGTACCCAGTCAATTCTGATTCAATATTTACAAGCTCAACTATTCATATGTCTCAGTCTTTACAAAGAATTTCCACAGGACTAGGATTCAGTGTTTTCAATTAAAAATGTATATCTTTACAAATGGCAAACAGGAAGAGGGACATATGCACAAGTTTAATATTTTATATCTTGCCCTTTTATTTACAAGACTTCTAATTTTCATTCAGATCACAAAGGAATCAGACATCATTATATGCACGGTCTGCACGATGTGCAATGTTAATATCGCATGTTACACATATGCAGATTCCACACTGCAAGGACTTCAATAGTCAGCCAGGTTGACAGGACAGTCATTAAAATAATTTTACTCCAAACCAAACTTGCCAAGCTTTGCAATCTCCTTTTCAAGATTGTCTAGTATATGTTAAAAATCATTCTAAAGGTTGCCCCTCTTGCTTCTGCATGCACTCCCTAAGCCAATCATAACTGCTTTTGTCCTTGCTGTTTGAGATACTCATAGACAGTGTGGCGTGTTTGTGAGAAATTTAATAAAAATAAGTGAAGAGGAGAAAAGCGAACAAGAACTGCCCATCACTAGGCATTCGTCTTCCGTTGTATGGAAATATTTTGGATTCCAGAGACAATATTGAGCAAAAGCAAGTGATTTGTCAGCAATGGTTTGCGTCTGTTGGAACAACTCGTGGCAACAACATGAACTTATTATCTGCCAACATGGTCTGTCAAATAATAAGTTCTATTTGGTTACAGTTTATTTTGGGAAAATTTTCAACTCCATTTTTGTTTTACAAATATCCATTCATAATATTTCTATGTGATTTTTTTTTAGGCGTCGCATAGGAATGGGTCAAATGAAAGTGAAACAAGTGGACATTCTCTGTTAGACATGCGTTGTCTGGGGAAATGCAGCTGACCTCGATGCAGCTGTTGCCGGCGTGGCAGGCAGCAGGTACGTGACGTATGTACTGCTTGAACTGAAGCAGGCTGTCTTTTACAGCCTGACTGAACAGTGCGCTGGGCGGGTGGATGCAGCCCTCCCCGGGCGTGTCGCGAAGCTCCTCCACGCAGGAACGCAAACGACTCAGGTTTCCCTTCACCTGCTGGAGAGGGAGCAGAGAGTCACATGAAGCCCTTACATGCTTATCCTTCAGCTAAACCCCAAAATGAAAACAGAGCAGGGCTACGGAATCCTTACCACTAACCAGACAGCATCACATATGTAAGGACTTCGGACTGGGTCCCATTTCAATTTTCATTTGCCACGAGCAGAAGGGGAGTCCCTCTTTAATATTTCCTATTTTATATTGACCATTGCCAGTTCATGGTACCCCAGCTCTACAGACCCCAGATTGAAAGCAACTCCTTCACATGCGCTATAAAGGTGCATATATTTTTTTTTAACAAAGTCAAATTTAGCCCATTTTTAGTGCCCCAATGAGGATTCAGGTCCTTGACTTCCAAGCCCACCGCCCTTTGCTGCTGCGTAGAGGTGAACAGAGGATTAGGCAGAGTGATGGGTGGGGTGGGCCCAGTCCTTACCACGAAGGGCAGCAGACACTCCAGCTCGTTGTTAAGTGCATAGAGGCTGAGCAGCGTCAAGCGGCAGGGTCCCTCCAGGCTACACGTCAGGGCCAGGAAGTTGTCCAGTGCCTCGCAGAGGCTAGTACTGATGCACAGCCACCCAGGGGGGGACACGTCAACAATCATGATGCGAGGAGGCTGTCGAGAGAAGGACGTCGGGCAGCACACCTGGCTGGGTATGGGCCTGTTCCTCGCATTCATTGTGACGGGGCCAGATCTCAGAATTAGCCTGAAACCCAGGTAACATCAACACACATGGTATTAAGCAGAGGGTCAAATTACCATTTGTTTAGAGCCCCAAGTTTAAATGCCTGAAGAAAGTGAGAAAGAAAAAAAACAACAAATAAAAAGTAACAGCATTAATCTTACAATTATGTTTATATCCCTGTATGAATAGCACAAACAAAACTAGCACAAAGGACAACCAGATAATGCTCTTAAGGTTCATTATTGAAACATACCACAGATACTTTACACAATCAATAAGAAGCCTTAGAAGGCCAACAATGTGTTTGTCTGAAAACCATGGCCAACAATGTACCAAGGCCCTGGCGTTTTGCATATTATGGGTTGAGTCATTGATAGCAAGCCCAAAGCAAGTTATAAAGCCAAGCTTTTTATGGCAAACAAATGGCTCACCCTGCCTGGGAGCCTTCCTGGGAATTACTTGTATCAAAAAAGGTTTTAAAAAAACTGTACAAATACTGTACAAATACTGAAAATACTATTTACCTACGTTTGATAAAACTCGGCCTACTCGGAAATATGCAGTTCCGAAACACATAAATGTAACATTATATTTATATTTGAACTAGTAAAACTAATTATGAAACTGACGCTGAACTTTTCTATTTGCACATATTTCGTTGTTTAAAATGTCTTTACAGACGGAGAAGTTAAACGTGACAAACAGCTATTAAAGAACAGACGGAAAACAGTGATACCATTAACACCGGTAATGATCGAGGACAATTAAAAAAGCATACTTAACTTATCACCATTCAACCATCGATTTACTTTGTTTTCAAAATAACTTCTGATAAAATATATAGTGTTATTAAATACGGACCACGAAGACCGATCAGTGTTTCACCATCTGAGGGCTAACGTTAGCTCTCCGGCGGGTTTATATAACGTCTTTCCTTACCTACAGGGAAACAGCAGCTAAGGACACTGGACCTGTGAAACACAATTCATTTAATAATTTTATCACAGCAGACCAGAGCGTAGTACGTTAATATAGCTATTTAATATCTTTGGTGACATGGCGCTATGTCGTTAATAACCGTCACTGTCACTATCAGCCGCCTTTCTTCACCATGCGCTCAGACTGCCGACTCCCCGCTGCTGTGTTCAAAATAAATGTCACATTTGCTGCATCTTAAAAATTATCTTTTTAAATGGTATACCATAGATTTAAAAATGCTTAAAATGTATTATCTTTTGCTGAAACAGAGTCAACAGGTAATCTGCAGTTTAAGCTCATTTATGTTTTAAGTCAAAATTTCCTGGTTTCTTTCGGCTGTTTTTTTTTTTTTTTTTTTTTTACTTTTAGTGACAAAATCATAAAAAAGCAAAGTACTCATTGAAATTCTGCTGTGTGTGTGTGTGTGTGTGTCTGTCTGTCTGTGTGTCTGGCTGTCTGTGTGTGCGTGTCTGTTTGCCTGTGTGTGTGTCTGTGTGTGTGACCAAACTTCGTTTTGAACAGACTTTCTGTGTATTTGACTCTGTTTCAGGTCAGTTATCCCCATATTTAATGTTGTTACAGTGTTATGTTGTGCACCAGTGTCTGGCAATTACAGTCCTTGAAAATGAAAGTTGAGCATCTGGGTTAATGAACTGATGTGGGACTTGTGTGAATTTTTTTGTGCCCAGGTGGTCTAGAGGAACTCATTACCCAGGGAAGTCTCATTCGCAGGCCTCCCAGGAGGTAGGAAAATCATAGAATATTTCAGTGCGTTGGCGTCCCAGCCTGTAAGAAGCTTAGGTGGTTGCCGTGTCGTGAAATTAGATGTGGCACACACTGACACATCCTTTTACCGGAGCACAGGGATTGATGTGGGGTGTGCTGGTCTGGTCCTGGGAGATAAGTGAGCGGGCGTGCTCCAATTGCCGTGGTTCCCAGTGATGCCAGCAGCCGTTACCCAGAAGGCCTCTGTCAGCACCCCCTGCATTTGATCTCTTCAATGTGATTATTGGGACGGGTCAGCTTGACAAGAACCCAATGGCTTATTCTCAGTTTGGTTTTAGGTGTAGGTTTGGATACATAGCACAATTTATTCATCAGGTTACATATATCTTCCACATTTTTCTCCTGTAGCAATATTAATGCAAGCTATGTATAGGTATACTTCAGAATAAATTAATTGTTTATTTAGTTATTTAGAGAAAAAAAATTATAAAAATTATAGTTTTACTGCAAATGTGCTTGTAGATTGTCCAGCTACTTTATTTTTATCATTCACATAGATGGAGCATTCATAGGATAACTTTGGACTAGTTAACCCAGATGCCTGGTATTGATGTGCTGTGCTTGTTTGATTCTTGTTTGATTCCTTAAATAGATAAATAAAATCTAAGCTTGCATTAGATTTATTCAGGGTCTTTAACCCTTCTGGCCACTATCTGTAGGCTTCGACAGTAATTACATGTAATTCCTTGTAATGAACAAAGTTTAAACATGTGCTTAAAAGGCAAAGCTAGTTTAATCTGTCCAAGAGCCCAATGATGTCTTACACAATTGTAATCTGAGCCGAAAGCCAAAACTTGTTCAAGACCAATACAAGGGAATATTATCTGTCCAAACCTCGTCCAGCACCAAGGTCCTTGGCAGAAGAGAAATGTTGGGAAGATAGTGACCTCATATACAGCCGGCTCCAGTATGACTGCAGCAGGACATCGGCAGAGTCCCGGGTGATGAGGTAATCATCCAACAAGCTATGTAGCTGCTCTGCTTAAATACTAAAAAGTGATTTACTGACCTACTCCTCTGCTCGACACTTAGCCACCCCTGCTAATTTATTACAATGTAGTAACCCATCCCCACCATAGGTTGTTCTAACACTCTAAATGGCTGATTCTATTCCAATATAAAAAACAATAACGATGAATTAAAGACACAGGGCCATTTCCTTTTCCATTCAGAGCTGTATTCTAGAAGTAGCTGTTATACCAGAGAAGAAAGAGGGTTACTGCCAGTGTAAGGGCATTGTAGTGTGGCATGGCATCAAGCCCGGTTACTGTGCTGGGGTCCTCCCGCTTACACTGCTGTAGAGCTACATAAAACATTAGAAGTCTTAAGGTCACTAGGATATATAGATGGGTGTCCGAGCCTGTAACTTCACTGGGCGATGTAATGGTTTAATACATGAATCCCTGAAAGACAGAGAGTCAGAGGTGAGATATCCACCTGGAAAATATGGTCTTGAGTTTGAGCCTTTCAGCAAGTGTCGTTATCTGATAGGAGTTATATTATGAACAGAAAGTCATTAAAATGTGGGAATTTAATATAACTTTTATTCATTTCTTATCAAGCTCTTTAGTCCAAACCATTTTCTTTCCTGGGTATTGACTTGCCTCTTGTCTGAAAAATAAAAGTAATCTTGAGTGGTTCTAAACTAAGTGGCTTCACAAGTGCAGCAGAATGAATGTTTTTACCTAATCTCCTGTTGCCATGGTAATCTGCCTTCAGAATAGGCCTGGTAAAAAGGTCTGGGGCTGTATTGTACAAATAATTTACCCCCACAAAAAAAGTCAGGGAGAAAAAAAGAATTGGTAATGTCAATGATTGCTGTGAATCACTGAATTAACTTTGGACGTGTGGAACCAGACAGACCTACATTAAAGTACTCACATTTCCTGTTTTGGAAAGTGCTTATAAAACTTTGAGGCACACTGAGATAAATATTTCAGTTATGTTTCATTGCCTGTCCTTTAAGGAAACACTCAACAGATGGACACCATGCCACTGACAGGGATTATGTGATCATTTTACACGTGAGCAGAAACCATGCAGTGATTCTCAGGTCGCCACAGTCTTCCTTGGAAACAACTGCGGGCTTTGATTACAACTGGTTTAAGCCTGATATCTGAAAAACAGGCCTGTCGTTGTATGGTTCACCCCCAGAATAAGCACTGCTGTCAAAGAGCAAGGTGTGTCTTCTGAATTACCGGCAAGATTTATTACTTAATAAATAGATCAAACAAACGCTTACATGTAAGTGCCTTCGAAAACAGGAAAAATCACCACAGCCCCCACAACCAGCTTGTATGGCTTCCGACATGTAGCGATCTAGATCATGTTACTTTTGGGTAATGCAACAGTACGGCCATGCAGTTTCAGTATGCAGAAGGCTATTGACGCAGCAAAAACAGATAATGAGGAGTTTCTTTCATTAAAGGCTGGGCCATCACCCACTAAATCTAAACATCCTGAATCCACAAGGCTGTGCTTCTCTGTAACTTGAGCCCCCCAATGTGTCTGCAGCTGAAAGTACAGAGGTTGCCTTTATCAAATACACACAAACTTGCTTTTATCTCCCTAGAAAAACATGCTGGGGGGTAGCTTTCTGAGTATTTGAGCTTTCAGGCTGATGTGAATAGTATTTTTAGCCAATGCGTCCTTTGCTGGATATTCACCTCGCATGGCTAGATCCACGTGTTGTTTTCCTGGGCACTTTGACATTAAAATATTTGTGGCACCACATTCGTATTCCTGTTTTCGTGTGGGGAGTGGTCAGGAAGGGAGTGGCCTCGCTCAGGAATTGGTTGGTTGTGCTCTCCTAAAGAGCCATGGTGCCAAGTACTCACAACATGTGAGGTATGGTGATCGTGGCGGATTTGGTAGGGCTGGCTCCGTAGGTGCTTTGTGTTGGCGATAGCGGTGAGAGGAGGGCAGACTCAGCAGGCTCGCCCTTACTGTGGTACAATCTGGAGATCTGTGACAATACCCAGTAGGTGGACCTTTAGTGATAGATGAGAGTGATTCAGGCGCATGGGGATGGAGGTGCGGGAATCTCTGAAACTAGAAATACCTAGAATGACAAAAACAGGCACATTTTTTTGTATATGAATGTTTGAAATATGAAGATGATTGCGCCATGAAAGAATTGAAAGTAAAAAAAAACATCTCTTTGAAAGCTGCAGAGAGGAAATGAGACCAGGAAATTCATTTGTATTCATTTGGATGTTAAGTTGATGCTAGATAATCAGGCTCATATTTATGAGGAGTGTCTTAATCCATGTCTATAAAGCACTATAACTGCTGTATTTAGGAATAATTTTCAACAACATATTCATATTTATATTCTGATATAAATTGAGGCCTACAGTTTCAGTTTAAAAGTAATTCCCAAATGGGGTAAACGTAGTAAAACAGGGAAGTGTCCTCACGTTAAACAGGAAACGATACAGTATTTGAAGAAGTACCCTTGAACAAGATATGTCTGAATTGCTTCACTAAGATCTCCATTCATGTAAACGGTAGATAACTCAAGTGCCTTTGGATAAACAAGCAGCAAGGGCTCTGCTTAGCAAAAACGTGACTTAGATGTGTGTTTCCAAACTGAAAGATCCAGAAACTGCCCGAGGCTTTAAGGCAGAGCTTTGGGGAGAAGCTAGGATTGTCCTGCTGTCAAAACAGGAGCATGGCAGCAGGTTCTCAAAGTGACATGGGCACTGAATCGGGAAGGGGAGAGCTGTCAAAGCGGGCAGGGTGATCTGTGGAGCGTGGAGTCCGAGACACAGACTGGTTTTTCATAGTGGGTCATGTAGCCAGTTAAAGGGCAGCCAAGGTGTGGCCCACATTCACCACCTGGGACCTGCAACACGGTTCAGGCATAAGCCTGCAGTGACCCTCAAAGTATGCATCCATACCATGAAACCTCACGCTTATCTCCATGGCGATTCTTATTTACTATCTGCACAAAGCCTAGCAGCTAAGGAGCCACCCTGGAAGGTTCATATCACAGTCAGTGAATCTTAAACGATAACTTTAGATGCAGATAGTGGATAAAAAATAATGGCAAGATATGAAATCGAAAGAACAAGATGTCAGCCTTCATACTTCTGGGCTTCCGAGTGGATCTGAAATACACTTTGCAGGAACTTGGCTGCAGTTCTCCATAACAAATTGCCTTTTGGCTCGCAGTTCCGATTTGGACTTCAGTCCAGTCTTGGAGGCCTGCTGCTCATCCTCCTTTTTTCCAGGCTGAAAGCAGATTCAATACACGTCCTTATCACTCATTAGGAACAGACACCGTCTTTGTCACGGAAACATCCGCTAAGTTCACAATGGCGGTCATAGACCATTCAAGGAGACAGAGACCCCCGCCTGCATATTCACTGGGCCCTGCTGAAAGAGATGTTTTTATGCATACCGTAGACTTCGTACAAGCTATCAATCCTGCATTTCCCTTTTTTCAGTACAGCATGTGTTTTAGCAACTGAGCACTTAAGCAAACAATGTATTGCCGCACGGTTTATCAGCAGGCCCAACCGGGCCAACGTCCCACCAACGGCACAGGTGTATACGCTGCTACACCTTCGCAGGCAGTTAGGGGGTGTGCTTCCTAATTCCCAGCTCCAGGACAAGTGAGTCACCAGGAAGGTCCCACACAGGCATTGGGTTACCGCTAGGTGAGTTCAGAGCCCTGTGTGAGGTGCTGAATGTGTCTGATACACTGTACGGCGGTAGCAGCCACCTAATGAGAAACAGTTCATGAAGGCACAGACCTGAATTATGGGATATTATGGGATATTAGGCGTGTTCTCTGTCTCCTGATGAACTGCTACAAGTTTTTGGGAACCACCCTGATGCCCATAGAAATTCCTGGACAGCAATGATAGGTGACACCCCGCCCAGGACGCCTCCACATTGATTTTGAATAAAGTTTAGTTCGATCAGGCTCTGGGTCACCTGCTTTTTCTGCTGCCCCGACGGCTGGGAATCCCTACACATTCGATTGCATTTTTGCCCGTATTATGTTAAATGTGGCTGTCATTATTCTGGGCATCAGGGCACCATGTGACACCTGTAGTGAGGATTGTTTTTTCTTTCACCAAAGTGTGTCATCATATGATGAAAATGCATCCCACTGTACATTTTACAGAGGCGTTCCCATATGGGCACCAGCAGGAACGTGCAGCTGGTATGGGCTCTTTCCATGGCCATGGACTTCACACATATGGCGGATTCTTATTGCCTGCATGATAGAAACGGCAGCCAACAAGTGACACTTATCCACGGCTTGGTGTTAAGTCATCAAACTGTCGTGAAAGGACTTAATTAAATTATGCATTTATGCCCCTATAGTGTTTCCTTTTTGTTGTTGTTGCTTAGCTTTACATAGCTGAAGAACAATCCATTCTCCTTCTCACTAATATAATAAACATATTTAATATGGACATCAAATATGCATCCATAACGTGAAACCTCACAGTCACTCTCCATAGCGATTCTTATTTACTACCAAACCCCAGTAGTTAAGGAGTCACCCTGGAAGGTTAATATCACAGACAGCGAATCTTCAACGATAATTGAAGATGCAGTTAGTGGACAAAAAATTAAAAAACTCAAGCTTAAACAAATATTTGAGATTAAACAAATATTTGCTGTTTAATGTGTTTATTCATTGTTTGGCATAGTTCTCTGCTTGCACTGCATTAATCATCTTCGTACACTTTTACTTTTGTAATAACACTTGTAAATCCATTCAGCCAGATGCCTGCGGAGTGAACAGCTGTGTCCGCACGGCACGAAAGCGCCGCCCCTTTCCACCTCCATTTCCCGAGGCTAAACATTTTCCAGGTGACCTTTCTGACAGCTTTCCCCTTTGCTACAGGAACAGGAAGTAAGGAAACGTGTAGCTGTCTGATATTGTGGAAAACAACGTAGCAGAAAGAGACCAGCACTGCACTTGGG